GGATGGCGGCTCCGTGCACCCCGCTCCTCTGCGGCGCCGGGGGTCCCCGGGCTGGCACCCCGCAGCCCACCGGCGCGGAGCCGGGGCGGCATCGTCACGGAGCCTGGTGCAGAAAGGCGGGGATGGGCTCCAGGTCGCTCAGCTGGGACTCGGGGGTGGCAGACCTGTGGATCAGCGTAGGGTGCCTCTTGAAGGCTCCGGGCCAAGCCAGAGGAATGACTACGGAGGTCTCCAGGGATGGCGTGTCCAGTTTGGAGCATCCCAGTAACCTTAATTCCTCAGTGCTCGCATCAAGGGACAGGCTGGTATCCAGGGGGGGTTTTATTGCTGAGATCTCCCATCTGGGTGCTGGCATCTTCCCGAGGGTTGAGAGGTCGCCAGTGAGCTCGATGCTCTTGGAGAGCTGGTTTTCCAGCTGTTTGGGATGCTTTTCCTTCTTGCACGGCGTTGAGGTGTTCTGCGACGCCACGTCCATCAGGCGGCCGGCTCTGCTGGGCTGCTCACAAGGCAAACCGGACAGGTCAAAGGCGGCGTGACTGTGGTGGGCCTTGCAGAAGCAGACAAGGCTGTGGTCAGAGATGCCGTGGGTCAGGCTGTGCAGGTCGATCTTCGCACAACTGCTCAGAGACTCCGACTGCTTGACAACACACAGGGAACTGCCTTTTGTTGTGTTGTCCAAGTCTGTGAGGAATTCCCAGGTGTCTGGTTTGGAGGCACTGCTGTTGTCTGCGTAATAAAGACGGACAGGAGAAGAATGGGTATGGGTATGGCTGGAGGCCCCATCCACAAACCCATTTTCCAGGATTTCCTTTATGGTCAGGATGCTGGTACCATGTCTCTTGGTGGACAGCATGGTGCAGAATCCCACCACTGTCAGGCTTATGGAGACTAGAACGTCCCTGTTAGAATAAACATGTTATTGTTCATTACTGTTCACTAATGAGTTGCAAACTTAGAGTACCTGAACTGATCTGCTGCAAAACCCTGTCTTGGTGTTACTTAGAAGAATGAGGAGCTGAGTGGGATCCGGGGCAGGCAGGTGGGCATCCAGCCTGTCACTGTCTTCTAGAGCAACACAGTTGCACCAAGGCCTATTTATTGCTCAGAGGTCATCACGGAGCATCCCCAGAGTAGTATTTATTCAGCCTCAGCCTATATACTACTACTCTTAGCTTTGTACCCTGAGTGTAAAGAATCTCAGTAAGCCTCTCCATCTGCTCGAGGTACTAAGATGGAGTTGGTTTTCTCTGGAGATGAGACACTTGACCCTTGTTCCTTGAGTCAGAGGTTCATTAACCCCAGTTACAGTTGAGTCCCTTTGAGGTGGGGGCACTGAAACTGGGCTATAGTTAGGATGGGTGAGGTTGAGGAGCAGCTCTCATCTTAGCTTTAGCCCCACATATGGTATTCCCCACCTGCTGACCTGTGGGGTGCCGCAGCCCACACATGGCACCGAGGGAGGTCCGTGGGGACAGGCCCTCCTGGCTGCTTTTGTGGCACCCACTGCTGCCTTCCGCTGCACAGGCAAGAGCTTCCTGCAGGCTCCCCCTCCACCTAGGAGGGAGGTTCTCACCAGGGGCTCCACCAGCAGCTGCCTTCCAGCCACCCCCAGAGGGAGCGGGGCAGGCGAGGGAAGGGAAAGGCAGCTATGGCGCTCTGAAACCATTTCTTACACCAAATGCATTAGAAGCAGAAATAAAAAGCTTTGGTATTTACTAAAAAAAGGGGCTGTATAGTCAGTCTAGAAAAAAGTTTTAAGAGATTAAAATACTTAAAGTTAATTTAAATTACTTAAAGGTAATTTAAATAAATTAGCATGTGAGAAGTACTAGGGAAATAAAAAGTACATGCTAAGAGGGTAGGCTGAAAAATCACTACTTACCTTCAGCTTCTATAGAGACCCCCTTCAAGATACTGATCCTTTTTTGCTAGTGCTACTTGCAGTGGTTTTATAGTTCTGCTAGTTAATTGACAGGCTGATTTCCTAATTAAGCTGATTTGGGAGAGGGAGGGGTTTTTGCTTCGGGGGCAGTGATGGTGGGCGGTGGGTAACTGCTGGGGGTAAAGGGGGTCCTGCCAGGGCTGGGGGGTGTTTGCAGCGGGGAGAGCAGGAGCTGGGGAAGAAGGAGAAGGACACGGACACGGACATGGACATGGACACATGGAGCCTTCCTGCCCAGACACAACACTTCGGGGAGGGTCCCCAACGAGGTGACATCTCTCTTAAGTTTTGCTCCTGGCCAGGAGCATCCCAGTGCAGAGGCAGAGCGCGGACATCATAGCTGGGACAGGGACAGAGGGACCGGTGTATGCACAGCCCGAGCCAGCGGGAACCCGCTTCTCCCGCTTTCCCTGCGCGGTGTGACAGTGCCACCACCCGGCACTGTACAGGAGACAAAGGTTTTGTAGCTATAATTGTCTATGAGGAGAGACTGTACATTCAGCCACGTCTGTGTGTGTGTGGGGGGGGGAACCCCACACCAAAACTGGTTTAACTTTTATTAAGGAATTCCAGAGCTTCGGTGACACAACCTTCTCTCCCCGGCAGCGCCGGACCCGCGGGGACACCCCCCCACCCCCCTTGCGCATCCCCGGAGCGGGACGCGGTGGATGTTCATTTGCTTTTTTTTTTTTCCCCCAATTTCGGCGGGAGGCGGCGGGCGGTGACCGTGGTCGTCGTTTCGGGTGGTGGTGGGGGTGTCCCCCCCGAGGGCTCACCGGTGGGGGGGGGGAATCCCCCCGGACCCCGGTGCGGAGTGTGGGGGGGGGGAGCTTACCGGAGGCGGAGCGGGCGGGCGCCCTCCCGCGCGCGCCTCTTTGCGCGGGCGGGAGGCGGCAGCGCGCATGCGCGGCCCGGCCCCGCGCGGGCGGGGGGGCGCCGTTGGCGCGAGATAGGAAAGTGCCGCCGCCGCCGCCCGGCCCCGCCATGGCGCGCCGCAGCCGCGGGTGAGTGCCGACCCCACCGCCGCGGGGGCTCCGTCTGCCGGCCCCGCGCCTTCCCGAGGGGAAAAGGGGGGGGCTGTGGGGCAGCATCGGCGACCCTCTGGAGGCGCCTCTCCCCCGCGCGGCCCCCCCTCCGCCCCGGACGGCCCGTTCCCGCTCTCCGGCCGGTTAGCGGGACGGCGGGCAGGGCCGCGGGCCCGCCCCCCCCCGGGCTCCGCGGGGCCCCGCTCTAAGGATTCCGATTGCTCCCACCCGGGAGCTGGGCGCGGACCTGGCTTTGCCTGCTGGGGAGCGGGGGGGTCGAGCGGACAGGCCGGGGGGGTCCGGGCTGGTGATGGGCCGAGCCCGTCGGGGCCGCGCTCCCGGCAGACGCCGGACGGTTTCTGGCTGCTTCTCCCGTCCCTTCTCTTTACCCCAGCGACCCGGGAGACTGGTGAGCTGTAAAGCGGGGAAATGGTGTCAGTCCCGAGACACAGAGTCCTCCCGCAGGGACGGAAGGGAGCAGAAATCAAGATGAACGCTCCTTCCCCGGCTCTCGGCAGCTTAAAAGTTGCTAGCGTGCACCGGGAGCCCAAAGCTGAGGGACCCCTTTAAACCTGGGGTGTCCGAGGGAACGTCTGTGAGGTGTCAGGGTCCAGTGCTGGAAGAGGGTAGAACCGGAGCACTGCTCCACACAGCGCAGAGCTCCGCTCTGCAAGGCGGAGGTTGCTCCCTCTGCTGCGTTTTAATCAGAGGTGGAAGTTATATCCTTCGTTTATTCATCTAGTGAGGACCAGGATGAGCTGCATTACCAGGATACTGACTCGGATGTGCCGGAGCAGCGGGACGGGCGGTGCAAAGTCAAGTGGACGCAGGAAGAGGTGAGTGAGAGCCCTGCACTGGCTGAGAGCAGGGCTTTGGGGTTGGCCTCTGGCATGGCACTGGGGCTTGGGTGCCTCCACCCCAGCCATCTCCCACTGGCCACCATACCACCTCCTGCTGTCTTGCTGCTGGAGAAGACCATGTGTCTGTTTTGCTGATGTGAGCTGACGAGGCTGGGAGCTTCAGGGGAGTTTGAAGTGTAGCCTGGAGAGCAAGAGCTCCAACCACTTTAGCTTAAGCATGTGAGCCCTGTGTGAGGTATCCACAGCCTGCAGCAATCTTGTGAGCAAAGAGGAGTTCCAGAGGATGGCTGAGGCCTCCAGCAAGCTGAATCGTGCAGTGGAAATGTCCTCCCTTTTCAGTAGCAAAAGCAGGGAGTGTTGAGACTGTTGGGATCATGGCTTAGTCGTCCTGGCTGAGAGCCTGAAATGAATTGGGATATTCTCTTCCCTCCTCTCAGTTCCTCCATCATCTTTCTTCTGTTTGAAAACTATAAGATGTCCTGTCTTCCCTGGTGTCTGAACACCAAGTAAAGTGGTCTTTGTGCAGAGATTAAAGCCTCAGACTTGTGTTGGGCAGGGAATTGCTTAATGCTTCTGTTAGCCCAGCTAGAGCACATGGGCAAGGACACCTTTAGCAGGCTTTTTGTGAGCTGCAAGAGTCGGCAAACCTGAGCTATTGCAGGGTTCATGAAAGAAATGCTGTAGAGCCCAGGTGCACTGAAAGACAGTGGACCACTGGGCTAGTGGTGATATACTTAAACCAGTCATCTTTCTTGGCTGGGCAAAAGCAGTGGCTGAGCTGGGAGATGGACTGTCTGGTCAGGGGTGTACTGGGACTGGATAAGCAGGTAGCCTTGCCCACAGGTTTTGAACCACACTATACTGGGACCGAGCTGAGCTCTTGTTTTGTAGTCACTGTACGAGCTTGCCCTAGCACAGAGCCCAGAACCAAATGGTCTCTTCCAGTTGGTCTTCATGCACTGCAATGCTGCTAAAGGATGGTGTGAGTTACCTTCCCTGAATGCAGAAGGCCAAAAAAAACCTCTTCTTGACAGTTCAAAATATCTATCTTGTTCTCTTGATGCTGTCAGCCCAGGGGTGCCTGTGGCTTGTGTTGCCTCAGTGTATGTGAAAGTGGATTTCTTTGTTCTTTGCAGGATGAGCAGCTGAAGATGTTAGTAAGACACTATGGGCAGAACGACTGGAAGTTCCTGGCCAGTCACTTTCCTGTAAGTGACCCCTTGCCCAGTTGGGAATCGTAGTGTTTGCATGTTGCTTCTTGTGCTCAGTGTGCTGGTTTTCTGTGTCTGTGCAGCACCTTGCACAGTGGGACTCTGTTCTGTGACTGCAGCTCCAGGCTGTGAAATGGTGCTCCTTCGGGGCAGGGAGACATCCTTCTTGCATAGAAGACTTTTCAAAGGGAAGTGTTGGAGCTGGGGTGAGGAATTGAGGTTCCTGTCCCCGTTTTCTGTGCCAGGTTCCCTAGTCTGTATTCTCTATGTGCTTCTGTAGGTTTTCTGTGGGACAGCTTGTGTGTGTGGGGACTGTTGCTATAGGGGCTTTTGGAGCCTCTGGTCTAAATCAGCTACTCTGATTCCTTTCCTAGAACCGCAGTGATCAGCAGTGCCAGTACCGGTGGCTGAGGGTGTTGAATCCAGACTTGGTTAAGGGCCCTTGGACCAAAGAGGAGGACCAAAAGGTGAGTTGGGGCAGGAGACAATCTGAGCATTGGACTGTGACTGTCTGCAGAGGGGATGGAGGCGTCAGACCCTTGGGTGGTTCTTTCCCGTAGTGGATACCTGTGAAAGCAGCAGTGACCTGTTCTGAGTGTGCTGGTGCAGCCATGGTCATGACAAGCAGAAGCAGGTTTAGGCCTCTTTAGCTAAACGCCTTCTCCCTTTCACACAGTACTGCTACAGCAGACTGCCAAGGGAGAGAGCAGAGAAGGGAATTAATTCATCTGCCTGCTGGCAGATCTCCACCTGACCTGGCTGTGTTGACCTAAGAGAAAAATAAAACTGGCATTTCCTGTGCCACAGTAGACAGGCTGAAGTGGATGTCTGAGGTCGGCTAGATGAATGACTTCTGTGAGCCTGTTTCTCTGCTGATTCGAGAATGAGCTGAGAAGGACCAGCTCAGATAGACTCATCTTGATGTACTTGAGAAAAGTTGTAATGAGTTCCAACTTTTACTAAGGTTTTCCGCTGAAAATTTCCTAGTTTGTCAGATTCTCTCTAACACTTCTGCTCCCCCAATACTTTCCCTTTTGGTCCCATTACAGTCTGTTACAGTCCCTTTTGCCTCCCATCTGTGTGTTATGTCAAGCACATCCTAAGGAAGCTTATCATGATGTCCTTCCAGCTTCCTACAGCAGAGCAATAGCTGCTTGCTTTCCCCTTCCCTTTGCGTGTTCTGACTCCGTCAGCCTACCCAGTCACGATACCCACTGCCATCCTGGCCAGGCTGGGCTCCAGTTTTCTCCTCCTGACACTGCACACTGCTTTGCCCTGCAAGCACTCCACCTCCTGGGCCTGTGCCTCAGTTTGGTGTCTTTGGTCTCTTTGTGCTTGATAGACGGGAGTCTGCGGTAGGGACACTTCTTACAGGCTAGGAGCACTGTGAGCATCACCTGGCTACCCGCACCTTTCAGCTGAGTGCAGCTGGCCAGGGTAGAAGTGCTCTGTGAGAACCCTCCAGCCTTGTCTCTTAAGATTTTGGTGGGCTGAACATTGCAGACAGTAGATCATTTTGTCCTGACACTGCTATGGACCGTATCGCAGGGGCTTGAACAGGTTCCCTGCCCAGAAGAATTTTCATTGAGCCTCAGGCAGAAGTGACAAAGCCCTGGGTGAAAGGGAAGTGGCACAGTGGATGGCTCTTAAGTGAATGCTGTTCGTCAGACTAGTGCGGAGCTTATGCGAACTGTTGTCATGGGGCCAGGTCCTCGGTAGGAGGAAGGGCAGAGGAGTCTTGGAGCATGTGGGACTTGGCCATTGCTCAGAAACAGGCATGTGTTTCTAAATCTGGGCCCCTCTGCCCCTGGTGCACCTACCAGTCTGCACCACATCTTCTGTGAGTGGTCCTCTACATTCAAGGTGCCATGTGGCAAAACATCTGCATGGGAACAGCCTCTTTCAGAAATTTGGCTGAATCGTTGCTCTAACAAGTGTTAGTACATGTGATTGTCAGTGCTGGATCCCTCCATTGTTTTCTCCTAAGGGGCCTTTCTCTGTTTGCCCTTACCTGGTCCCAATAGAAGTGAAGCGCAAAGCCTAAAGATGACTCTATTGACCTTCCCCTCCTTTATTCCATTTCCTTATTTCCCTCTCGTTCTCTTCAAAGGTAATTGAACTGGTTAAAAAATACGGCACCAAACAGTGGACGCTGATAGCCAAGCACCTGAAAGGGCGGTTAGGGAAGCAGTGCCGGGAACGCTGGCATAACCACCTGAACCCTGAGGTGAAGAAGTCCTCGTGGACAGAGGAGGAGGATCGCATCATTTTTGAGGCCCACAAGGTCCTGGGGAATCGTTGGGCAGAGATTGCCAAGCTTCTGCCTGGGAGGTAGGACCTCTTTGCTCGCTGGTGCTGGTGGCCTGTGGAGAACCATGTGTTGGGCTCACAGGATGGGGCTGGAGAGCATGTAGGAGCTGTTAGCTGTGCCTTAAAGCTGCTGTAATTGGTGATTTCTATTTCCTTCTGCTTTCTCTGCAGGACCGACAATGCTGTGAAGAATCACTGGAACTCCACCATCAAGCGGAAGGTGGACACAGGAGGCTTCCTCAATGAAACTAAGAAGTCCAAGTCACTATACTTGCTTGTGGAGGTGGATGACAAGGAGAGCCAAAGTCAAACGAGAGCTGGGAGCCAGGTACTGCACCAGCACATTTGCAGCAGGCAGCTGGGTCAGTCCCCTGCTCTGCTAATGCATGTCAGAGCTGTTCATCCACCCTTCTGCTGCCTCTAATGCTGTCTTTGCCACATAGACAGTCTATGCCTTCTGCCAGCCTTCTCAAAGACGCTGACCCTTGGGAGATCTCTCCCTCCAGGAGCTAGAGATGTAATGTGAGCCCAAGTGTGCTATCCAGGCAGAGTACAGCAGTCTGCTAGTGCTGTTATCTTG